AGGGACTTGGTTTTATTGGTTTGTGGGACTGTAAACTATAGGTTTATATTGTTTTGAGTAATGAAGCCAACACAGCACAACAAAGAAAGGAAATGCACAGAAATTCGGCCACGCAGAATGTAATCACTATGAAAGTCTTTAAGTCATTCCTGCAGTTTAACAAATTGGTGTGTGCCATCTGGCTTCATGGAAAGATAAAGATTAGTTTTAGTAGGATCTTTACCTTGAGGCCACTCTTGTTGTGATTTGGCACTATATAAACTGAATGAAATGTATGTCTCTGCAGAGCACAGTCTATTTATTCATAAGGCTAACCAAGCCTACTCTTGCTAGCTAATAGCTTAACAGTATTGTCTTAAATGCGATCCAACTCCAATCCAGTCCAATAGGATTATTACTACATATTTTCAAATCCATGACAGCAGAGTAAGCCTGGAGCACATGTGTTTGAGCAGTCTCTCATGCATATTTGTCCACGTATTAGTAATTGTGGGTGAATGAAATGCAAATGTGGGCGTGCACAATTGTTGGACTGATGGTGTTGGTGTGCACAAACGAGGAGAGCCGGGCTCTGAGGCATTGTGAGAGCCGAGAGCAGACAGAGTCCTGTTCTGCTGATTACACATCAGTGAATTGAAGCAAGACAAGTGTGTATTACACAGGAATCTATCATTTGGAGGGCATCTTCAAGACAGGTATGTGCAACAGGTATGTGTAGCTGTATATTCAGTTCGTTCTTGTTGAGTAGGAAACTGCTCTAAATACATACATGAAATATTTTCTAGGGTAAGTAATTACCACTGGGAAAAAACAAACAAGCGTAGTACAGAAGTTTGGAGCAGCTGAGCCTATTGGGATCAATTTCTCAAATATGACACTTATGCCTGGAAAATGTTAAAAGAACATAGTCAGCAACTATTAGACAGCAACAACACTAGGGATGAATTTGGCTGCATTTATTCAAATTCATTTCAAGTTTTTTGTCTAAAGTCGTTAGATCTTAAACAGTTTTAGGACACTGCTGACCACGAAAAGGAGGTTTATTTGTTTGAGCTGACACAGATGTTTTTTTCCAATGATGATAATGATTATTTTGTTCTTTTGATAATGCAAGAGCCTTTGTGGATATAATGAACAAAACATAAGTCTGTTATGTAATTAAGTTTAATCCGCAACATTACCTTTGGTTAAATTCTGCCAGATTCCTCTGAAAATAAAAAAAGAATCCAATAATCAGTTGTCAGAGTTTATGCTTAGAGTAGTTAGATTACATCAACGTGCCCCAGAATGAATGAGCAGCTTGTTTTACTACCGTAGCGTTGCAGGCTGATCGTATTAGTTGTTCAAGCTTTCTGGTATTCAGCTGGAGTTTTAACAAAATCAGTGGACGTTGGCGGTGCATAAAACTATTTAAGCTGTGTTTTGCAACCAAGTTTAAACCATTATAACAAATTGCTTTCTCGCTGTGGCAAAATGTTCCTTTTCATGCTCAATTTCACAATGAAGCTTAGTGTTGGGAACTCTCCGTTAGTAAGCGACTTATTATTCTGACTTTATGAATTTCATGAGTCTCTGTCAGTTATTCTATAACAAAGGTGGTAGAGTCATGTGTGCAGGTAACAGCTGAGCCTGTGTTTCTGTGTCTGATCAGTTAAAAAGCAGCATGCATAAACTGAGTTAATGACTGAGGTTATTGCTCATTTAGGCACAGTAATAACGCCGTGGGAATGCCAGTTACCCAAATCTCACTGCCCCCTCATTACAAAACACCCGGTCTAACGTCAGCCAGGGTACATTTCATAATGGGCACTGAATAGGGCATTCAGTGAACACGCTAATAAGCTGCTTATTAAACTGGTATATGAAACAAAACAAATAATGTTCTGGCTTGAAATCTTTTTACATTTCGGAAACAAGAAAGAAACCTTGAGTTAGTATGTGTGTCTTAGCTGGAAGCTGATAATAAGTTAAGTTATCTGTTAGCCCAGATACATCAAACGCAGCTGGAGATTGGCTTCCCAAACCAGTTTCTGTCTTATCTCTCATATCTCACTGTTTCCTCTCCCTGATCTCATCCTAATTTACCCGCACTAGGCTACATTGTTCTGCTGTTGCATCCACATGTTCAGCCAGTATGCCACAGCAATCCCCATTCTTCCCACCGTGTCATGCTGTCACTCTTTATAATCTGTACACGAAGGGGGTGTACCTCATTTGTCCGTCCGTCCCAGTTCATCAAAGACCATTGATCCCCAGTGCTGTGGTCTACATTCCCATAATGATCAGTCACAGTTG